ATTTTTCATCATCGAAACCTGCATTAACCAATGTCTTGCAGACTTGTGTGATATGTGCGATTTGCCTCCACACTAGCATGAGTTAACCACTTGTTTTTAAGTGCTTATCACCATCCATAAACTCAAAGGTCAATTACATTTAAATTAATAAGAATGTATTAGAAATTATAGAAATTCATATCGAAATGATGAAAATTGAAACTAATACCTTAACATCTGTCCATATGCTATCTTTTCCCTCAGCTAGCGCTTGTTTACAATCATCTACCAATATACTAACTTTGCCACGTCCAAGGAACACAACATAAATCTTAAAAAGAGAAGAGTATTCACCATCAACTACTCTATTATACGAATCAAAAACAATAGGCAATTTGATACCAAATTTGTGAACTTTTGTTACTTTGGTAAGCATAGTGGCACCTCTTTGTGATCTTTCATTTTTTATTTGAGTATCACTTGTCATAGTTTCCTCGCCACTAGATGAAGAATATGAAGAATTCGACATCTATTTTCAAAAATAACAACAACCTCAACAACAACAACAACAACAATAACAAACTCTTTCATCTATTATCATATACACATTTAACAACAACAACAACAAACTATTTCATCTATTATCATATACACATTCAACAACAATAAACTCTTTCAAAGATTATCACATACACATTCAACAATAACAAACTCTTTCATCTATTATCTTATACATATTCAACAACAACAACAACAACAACAACAGATTAATCAAGTTTTATAACACACATTTAACAAGAACCAGAAAAACAACAACAACAATAACAATGGAAACTGAGGTTTATTGTAGTGTATGGGAAAAAAGTTTTACGTACCGTAAACATGATGACTAAGTAAATATGAATATTTGGGTTGATACAGATAGTGTTGTTGTTGTACTCCTCCTTGACGATGATGATGGTGTTAGTGTTGGCGTTGGTGTGTTGAGTTGAAAACAAACCGATGACGACGAGTTAAAAATGATCAACGAATGCAAAACTATAACAATCAATGATGATGAACGATGAACCGATGATGATGAAAAATAAATTTTAGGGTTGAAATGGTGTATCGTTTCTCAGCAAAGAATGGCTACTGAAGAGACAAGCTAGTTAGCCTGATAAAAATGAATGAATATACCACCACGGTAAAAAACATGAACCGTGGTGAGATGTTACTTAATAAATTATATTTCATAAAGAAGCACCATTGTATTAAAATTTAAAATATTTAAAACAAAATGAATAATATGTCACAACGGTTTTCCTAACCGTGATGGTATCTCAATTTTTTAAAAATTAAAAATAAATAAAAATAAAAAGACGCAAATGAATGTTAAAGAAATAAAATATTTGACATGTCAGTATTTACAATTAAAAATATTTACAAACAAGTCATAACGGCTGTGTTATTCAACTGCGGTGGTATCTAATGTTAAAGAAATGTTAAAAATACAAAGGCACGATTAAATGTTAAAGAAATAAAATATTTGAGGGTGCTGAGATTCGAACCCATGAAAGAGTGATTATATAACCATGGTCTTATGTTTCATTCGTGATTATATCATATCAAAGAAAATTATCGCGCGTTAAGTAAGACATATCATCACGGTGAAAGTCTAACCGTAGTAGAATTAGTGTTACCAAAGGTGTATTTTGTAGTAGTGATAGTTATTTTGGCTAAGTGTAGATGGGAGGTTATCTCAAGTGATTATGGTCCTTGGAAATACATTCTAGTTTCCAGCTATGGTGTCTTTGTTGTCTCTTATTTTAGGGATAGAAAAGAATCAAGCTTACAGAACTCCTATTCCTGGTGGAAATGAGCTTCTTTGCTTGGTTCTAAGCAGGATGACTTTTATGGCTAATTTGTGGATGATATCACTGAGAAGGTTGGATCAGGTTTCAAATGTCTTTTAAAACTGACCCAGAGTTAAAAGTATCACTCTCAAGAATAGGTTCTCTAGCATGTTCATGATCATGGATTTTCTTGAGGGGAGTGTGAGATGTATAGGTCACTGAATAGATAAGACCCTCATTTGGGATTTCAGATGGAAGAAGTTGTTCTTTATTCACGAAGAACTTGTTGTTGTTGACTTCCTTTAGTTCATTCGAGGACATATTTTTTCCTTGGACGGAGACAAATGGGTTTGAAAGTTTGTTAGGGATGGTATTTTCTCGGATTCTCTTTTGCATTCTTTTAATTTTTTTTAAAATCTTTCCTCCTCCTTTGTGTTTTCACCTCTTTCTAGTATTTGAGATAGTTGGGCATCATAAGGTAATTGTATTTTATAGCAACTCCTCCTCGATAGGTTCCCCTCTAGAGAAAATTTATTCAAGAGAAAAATGTTTGTTAACCCTGAACTTACTGTTTGTCCTATTTGTGGTGATTTCATAGAGTCGGTTGCTCACTTGTTTGTTATTTGTGATTTAGTTTTATTAGTGTCTGGTATTTAATTTTTAGTTGGTTGAGATTCTAGATAGTCCTTCCTAGGAATCATAGTCTTTCCTTAAGAGTTTTCTTTTCTTAGGAGGTAAAACGAAGTGTACATGTTATTTTTTTTATTTTTTTTATGATCTGTCATTTTGTCGTTTGGACCATCCGAGATCCACAAATGAGGTTGTGCTTTTGAGTTATGACAAACATGAAAGAAATAGAGGAGACAAATTTTTTTTACTAGGAAATGGTTCTTAGAAAGTTTAGATGGGAATTCATTGACTATCATAGAATGACTTAAGAATTCTGTCTTTTGAATTAACCGACAGCAGATCATGATTTTGACCTAATTTAAAAAGATTTTAATTCTTTATTTTCTCTTGTTGGTTTCTGATCCGACGTAGGTGGTCTAGTGGGTTATAATCCAAAATTTACAATGTTTATTTTAAAATAAAAAAAAAACACATAGAATTGCTAAGTGAGAGCCCTTAACGAAGATTGACTAGATATCATTTAAGCTAAAGTTGAATATAAACAGCTCAACCTTTATCTTATACTAGTGCTAGCTTCAATCTTATGACCATAATGACTTTGTGTTTGTGTTTGTGTTGATGTGAAAAATTGATTACATTTCAAGAATCACTTTTATATCCAACAAAAAGTAAACCAAACATTCAATCATGTCATGAATTCATTGAATCCAACTACAATTATCCTTTCGGTTAAAAAAATAAATAGAAATAAAGAAATGAAAGAAGCATGAAACAAACATATTCGTCTTGATGAACTGCACAATGCCGGTGGTCAGACGTGGAAGTTAATAAAAAAAGCACTTTGATCAACTTCCCATGAGAATATGACTTTGTTAGTAGTACTATTTATTTAATTAAATTACAATAAAATTAACGAGTCACAACACAAACAATGAATGGTAGAAACTGTTACTTGGAAGATGAAATAGAGCCCACTAAAACAAGCATGCTTACCAATTCTTGTGCATAACTCCAAATCACTCAATTTCGATTCCATAAAGTTGAAAAATCACATTAAAGCTATATGGTCCATCATATGCTCATATTCTAACTTACTACCATTTTCTATCATATAAAAAAAATGTGAACCATTAAGTCTTTATCTAACTACCAACATTAAGTTAGTTCTATTACACTAGCACGTTGATCTCTTAAACAAAGTATATTTATTTTATTGAGTATGGAAATTAATTTTTTATTTATAAAAAACATATTCCCGTAATTTTTTTTATAAAAAATATTAAAAATATTTTTACTATTTTTATTTTTTATGAGAATGATTTCTAAAATATAAAAATAAATCACGTTTTAAATCTATAAAAACAGACAAAGAATAGTTATCTATTAAACATATAGATATTTTTATCATTGATATGATCACTTAAAAAAACTTGATTTAAATAATGTATTGGATGGAGGCAAATAATGTGTGATGAAACAATATGAATATTCCAAACCACATAAAAGAGAAAAAGTATAAAAAAAAATAAAGTAAGAACATCATAAATATTAAATTTTCCCAAAAAATGATTTAAAAAGATTTAATAAATATACAAAAAATAATATTAAAAATATTTTATATTGATTGTCTGATCTTGAGTCATGCATAACTATTATTTTAACTATATAAAAATGAAAAAAAAAATGCATATAAATAAAGTTTGGGCATAGAACTAGAGTATTTGTTACCATTCTCACGGTTAAAAAAAAATTGTCTTATTGGCATGAATACTAACTTTTATATATTTATGTATTTATCTTATATATAAATATTTATAATCACACTCGTTTTTAGTATTTTTAATAAAAATAAATAAGATTATTTTAAATTCTAATAATATTTAAAAAATTATTTTAGTATTAAATTATAAAATAAATAAATATTTATATTAAACTACATTATAATTGAATAGTAACATATTTTTAAAATTAGTAAATACATATTTTTATATAATAATATCAATTAAAATATATCGATAGATATTTTGCGGGTCCAATTTCCTTTTTTTATTTCAGAAATAAGTTTGAAATTCAAATATAAATAAAAGAATAATCCTAAAAAGTTCAACTCCACCGCTATCAATGGATACTTAAAAACTCTACTTCTAATATCAAATACCAATAAATTGAACATAGTAGTCCCAAAAAAACTGAATTCCAGTTAGAATCAAAGAAGCATTATTATAACATATATAAATTCATCATTAGAATAAAAAGTATTAAAAAAGTATGAACTATAAAGTAACCATATAACCCATTTTGCTAACCAATGAGCAAATTTATAGTTTTCTAAAGAACTAAAAAAACAAAAAACAGAAACAAAATTGTGTACCTTTGATCCATCATAATTTAACCACCAAAAAGTAAACATAAAAATAGGAAATCTGTTGTTTTTATCATGAACTTTACTGGCTGAATTGGTCTAAGACACCAAAATTCGCATATTCGAACTCATGCTCTGCTCATTCCATAAGACTTGATTTACCCGGACATATACCCTTATTGAAGTTTCACAAATTATGCATCCGAAACCGCAGAACCACCATCAGCATCATCCATAGGAGCAGGAAGATTTAGATCTAACAAACTACCTCCGAATTTCGCAGAACTTCGAATAACAACCTCAGCGTTTCTTGTTGTTGGTGTTGTAACCGCTGCTATTGTTGTTGTTGATGCTGATGAAGTTCCAATACCATGTGTTCTCTTATGTCCACCAAGTGCTTGACCTGAAGAAAATTCTCTAAAACAAACAGGACATTCATGAATTTTCTTTTCAACAACATTAATGTTTTCAATGTTAATTTTCTCATCATGTTGTGAAGTTGAATAGGCACCACTTGCAGCAAGTAATTTAGTTTTCTTGTGACTCGCTCTGTGTCCTCCAAGTGCTTGATAAGATCGAAACACTTTGTTACACGTGTCACATTTGTATCTTCCTCGTACTTTCTTCAACGGTTTCAGTTCCTCAGATTCAGCTTCACTTTCTTCTTCTTCCATTTCTTCGACTTCTTCTTCATCTTCGTCTTCGTCTTCATCGACATAATAACGATGTTGTTGTTCTTGATCATCATAATTGTGATGTCGTGTTTGTGTTTGTGTTCGTGTTCGTGTTCGTGTTCGCCAATTGTTGTTATTGTCGCGAGAAAGCAGCATGAGACAAAAAGCGATGTCTTCTTCGGTAGTTATATCCGAAGAAGAACTCAGCACCGACTCGTTCGGTTTCGCCATGTCGAGTTTCTTGACCCGTTTGGATCGTGGACGAGTTGGATTTTTCGACGACTCGGTTTCGGTTTCGCTTTCTCTGTTTTCTTGGAGAATTATAGAACCGGCGTCGATGAATTGATTGGGATCTGTGAAAATGAAGCTTCGTTTTGGATTCTCTCTTAGGCTATAGAGAGATGAAGATGAAGGAGATGAATCTGACTCGGCTTCGAAACTGAGTTGAATCGTCGGGGGTGGTGGTGGTGGTGGTGATGGTGGTGAGCCGTTTGGTTTGGGAGGAATTGGTAGGTTCATCATGTGTGATCTCATGTGTCCGCCTAATGCTCTTCCGTTGGAGAAACTTCTATAACAATATTTGCACTTGTATTTTTCCATCAAAAAAAGAAAAATGAAAATATGATGTAAACACACTAATACAACAATGCAACACAAAACACACTATTTTTTTGGTTATGAGAGAGAGTGTGTTTGTGATATGAGAAACCACAAAAGGAGTAGGATTAGGTGTGACTTGGGATATATACAAGGTTATGTAAATGAATGCCTATTTATTAATTTCAAATACAAAAGTTAAAAATAATATATAGAAAAAAGTCAAGTTTATTTATTTATCTCTTTTTATAAAAATGATTTTTTTCTATTTAAGCAAAAAAAAGTTCATATTAATAAAAAGAATATGTTTAATGAATTTGCTTTGTTTAGAGATTACTTAGATACAATTTCTACGTGATTTATACTAATTTTTTTTTAATGAAAGTATGAAAAATGTACTTAAAATTGATTTATGAGTAAAAATAAGAGAAAGTTACATTTGTATAAAAGGAAATTATAAATTTATCATATTTTTCTTTTAAAAAGTATAAATTTAGAATTGTATCTAAATTTTCTCATATTTTTAATTATAATTTGTAGCTTTTTTACGGTTTGTAACTTTTTCTAAAAAGTTATATTTTTTATTTTTTATTCTTATTATTTTAATTATAATCTATTTTTATATATTTAAAATCAAATAAAATAAATATGTTTTAAATAAATGAATAACAAAAGTCAAATTTTAAATAAAAAATTATGAACAAAATTTTTTTCCATTCTTTTTTTTCATCGTTTTAATTTCATTTTTTTTCATTTTATTCCTTCATGGATTTTAAAATTGTTTTCTATCATTACTTATTCATATTCTATCATCAGTTGTTCAGTGATATATATATATATATATATATATATATATATATATATATATATATATATATATATATATATATATATATATATATATATATTCTTTTGTATATTATTATATAATATACAAAAGATTATATATATATTATTATATATAGTCTTTTGTATATTATATAATAATATACAAAAGACTATATATATATATATATATATATATATATATATATATATATATATATATATATATATATATATATATATATATATATATATATATATAATAAGTCATAAATGTAAAATAGCATAAAATAATATTATTTAATAAGTATATAGTCTTTTGTATATTATTATTAAACTAATTTTTATTTAAAATTAAACGTAACAATAAATCCACATAAATAATTTTAAATATATAAAAAAATAAATATAATATATATATATATATATATATATATATATATATATATATATATATATATATATATATATATATATATATATAAAATAAAATTGTGATTTAATTTAATAATTAATACTTATTTTATATTTTTAAATAAATATTTGATTTTAAAAAAAGTTTTTATTGACTCAGAATTTTATCTACAAAATCATATTATTATCAATTGATTTACTGATTAATATTTCTTCCTTTTTTAAATGGGTGGGATCAGTCAACTCCCATTGTAAAGTAAATAAGAATTAAATTCTTTTTTGGCAGTAATTTCAATCAATTACTTTTAGGCTAACACGCTAAAATGAATTTAAAAAATTTATTTTAACTTTAACATAGTAACATGCAATGCTTGCTCGTTTTCTCTCTTTTTCTACACTTTCTTTTTTTATTTAGAAATATCTATGAATACTCTTATAATTTGAGATAAGGATGCTTTTATTAAAATAGAAAAATTAAGAATCGGATTTTAAAGATGAGATATAATATTTTTACTAAAACTATATAACATTTGTCTTCTAGATATATAAAAATCAAATTTGAATACTCTATCACCTTTTCTAAAATAAAATAAAAAATTCAATGATACAAGTTTAGTAGAAAGTAAAAGGAAAGGGTAAATATAGAAATTCGCAGTGGTTTTGCAGTTGAAACCATTGGCTTGCTGGCCCAGTTAAGGTAAAATAAAACTACTGGCTTTTGTTGTAAGTTACATGTTTTTAAATAAAGTAAAATGTTTTATTTTACTTAAATAAACGTTTATACTAAAAAAAATTATGATTTTTTTTTTTAACAAAAATGTATTTTTGTTATAGTCACTTGACCGTGATATAAAACTGAAGAAACAAACGTAACAATCAAATTGATGTATTACACGTAACCAGCATGATCTACCTGTCTTTTCAGTAGACAACCACTGGGGATTGGGACGTTGTTTTACCAAATTGAATTGACCTTTATGAACAAAAACAAAAAACCGAATAAGTGATTTTTTAAGTAATCAATTTTTTTTTTCAGTTTTGATTCTGTATTCTGTTACTTTTGTGTGACTTTTATTGATTTTTTTGTTTGTTTTTTTGTATATGAGTTTTAAGTAAGTTGGATTCAATAATTTATGAAATCAAAAAGTTTTATGATTCTCATATCAACTTTGAAAATTGCTTATATCCTTAGATAAAAATTTAAATTTAAAACTTATCAACTTAGTCATTTTGTGTTGATTTCGTATTTGATAATTAAGTTTATCGAAACAAAATAAAATATTTTAATAGACTCAACTCATTCTTAAAACTCATTTTGTAGTAAAACAAAAAACTATTTAGGAAACATATTTTATCATCTAAAAAAAAATATAGGGTATGCACGTGTTTCCACTGCATAGATAGGTTGACTTAAATATTCTAATAGGTATATTACAAGAATGATTGATGACTAGTTCACGGCGGCAAGTAGTCATGTGATGATTTTTTAGGATGTTTAAAGGACCAATTCACGTGAGGTGATAGACCAAGTCTGCGTGCGGCGCTGCTGGGTTGCACGCGGGCAGTTAAGTTACTAGTGTTAGAGTCGCTGAGAGCGAAATGTTCTCTTAACAGTATTAGGTGGTTTTGAGTGATTATGACTTAATCTTCCTCCTTTTAAGGGATGAGGTATTTATAGGGATTCTTAATCCTCAGGGTCTTCTTGAAAAAGGTCGTTGCCTGCCAAGTCAAAGGGTGGATTATTGAATTCATATTTCTAAATAATATGTGAGTCAATAACTATCTTGACTTTCTTATTATCTAAGACATGTCTTATCCCACATTTCTTCTTCCTAAGGGCGAGGAAAATGTTTGGGCGAGGCGATACCTCCCTTCAGACAACCTTGTGTCATCGTCCCTTTCCTAGGGTGGCCCTAATTTGCCGCCCTAGGCAGGGATATCTGTAAATATACCACTACACCATTCCTCAGATATGAGTCCTTAGATAGAAGGCAAATTTTTTTCACTCTCGGTTAATGAGAGTATTCCAAGGATTGGCATTTCCTTTGTGAGGCCTTTGGATACCCTTAGGAATTCAAGTTTCTACTGACCTATGTACATACGGCTTAGCTACTGAGGCGCTGAGCTCCTTAGATATTATAGTGCGTAGACTAGTTAGAGTCATTTTTGACCTTTTAATCGAGACTTCTATCGAGCCCTCTAGCAAGACTTGCCACCAAGTCTCTGGGGCTTGATATAGGTCGCACCTCTTAGGCATGACTTCAAAAACTATCTTTCCTGATGAGATACTAAGTCCATAGCGAAGGTTTTTCCTTGCTATGAGAATTATAAGTCCCGCAGATATTATATCACACAGTCCGACTGGGGAGACGCCGACTCTCTCAGGCGGGTCATTTTTGACATTTCGGGCAGGACTTCTATCGAGCCCTCTAGCAAGACTTGACACCAAGTATTCAAGGCTTGATATAAGTCACTCCCCTTAGGAATGACTTTGGAAACTATCTTGCTCGGGGAGATATTGTGTCTCTTGGTAGAAATCTTTTACTTGCTCTGGGAATTCTAAGTCCCTTAGATACCATGCAGTCCAACAGGGGGACGTCAAGTACATCAGGCATGTTGTTTTTACATTTTAGACGGGACTTTTATCAAGCCCTCTCATAAGACTTGACACCAAGTCTTCGGGGGCTTGATACAGTCTGTGTCTCTTAGGCGTGAATTTAAAAGCTATCTTGCCCTAGGAGATGTTGAGTCCCTCGGGCAAAAGGTTTTTGTCTCGGTCAATCGGGTACAACCCAGGAGGGCGTTCAGAATCTCCCTATGGGAGTTTAGTCGTGTGATTGCCTCAGGGGGGAGCAAGGATCTTCACGTGGAATTCCAACATACAATTTTCTCGAGGGGATGAAAGGATCTTTCCATGAAGATCCAACATACAATTGCCTCTAAGGGTCGTAAGGATCCTTCCATGAAGGTCCAACATATAATTTCCTCGAGGGGTGGTAAGGATCCTTCCACGAAGGTCCAACATAAAATTTCCTCGAGGGGAGGCAAAGATCCTTAATTCCATGACCTAGAATATAATTGCCTCGAGGGGCGGAAATGATCCTTCCATGAAGGTCTACCATATAATTGCCTCGTGGGGCAGAAAGGATCTTTCCATGAAGGTCCAACACACAATTTACTTTACTTTAAAGAAGGGGGTTCACGGAAAAATAAAGAATTGAAAGGATTGTTCAAAATTACATGGGCATAATGTCTATTGGAAAGTTACAAACATATTTAACTATAGTAATATCGGAGGTAGAGTGCGTTCCAAGTCCGGAGCAGGAGCGTTCCTTGAAGTTCTTGTAATTTGTATTCCCTGTGAGACAGCTTTTGGTATATACGGTACAAACCTTCCCAATTAGTTTGTAGCTTACCCTAATGTGTAGGTACGACCATTTTCTTTAATATCACATCGCGCTCCCACATCTCCCTCAATTTTACCTTGGAATTGTATCTCTTGGAAGCTATATGTTTGGCAGCAAACTCCCGGATGTGGGCAGCCTCTTGTAGCTCATCGACCAAATCCGTTTCACACTTCAATCCTATCTCATTTACTTCTTCATCAAAATGGGCTCATCTCTATGACAGAATCTCGATTTATATGGGAAGCATTGTGTCCACCCCATAAACCATGTAAAATGGGGTTTCCTTGGAGGTGGACTATGGTGTGGTGTGGTAAGACTATAGTATCTCGTAGACCCCTAACGTCATCCAACTTTTCT